TTTAGGCAGTAGTATGATAGATTCTATTGTGAATTCCTTGGTAAGATAAAATACCGGAAATTAGTTAGAATAAATCGGCTGTTAACCTTGGGATATTTCTATACGAACTTCTGTAGAGCACCTAGCAGGTGTGTGGTTTGTACTTGATCTGAATGCTTAAATTAAGTAACACACTGATTTGTTTCTGATTATGCTCCTAATTCATGATACATTGGGCGCGTTCATATTGTCTAACCGTAGACTGTTTGTCCTAGAAACGCACATTTGAGTAGTTTCACTTAGTTCAACAGTTGCCAACTTTCCGCCATTTTTTCCATGGTACAATTTTTTCGTTACCTGAACTCAGCCTAAACAGATGATCGAAAAGATTTACGTCGCTTATGTTAAATGTACTACGCTCATAAATGGAGAGCCAGCCCTTAATAAAAATATTATGTCCTGGTTATATAAAATAAAACTAAAAAGTTCAAAATAAAATAATGTAAAAAAAAACATTTCTTAAAAAAACAAGCTTTTATTTATTCCTAGTTATATAAAATAAAACTAAAATGTTCAAAATAAAATAATGTAAAAAAAATATTTCTTAAAAAAACAAGTTTTTATTTAACATGTACAATCAAAGAACTAAATTAAAGTAGTGTAACAAAAGATTTTATAGCAAGAACATTTTGTCAAAACTGCACTAAAATGAATAAAATCAAATAAGTTGAGGTTTCGTTAAAGTTACTAAAAGCCATTTAGTGAAAGGAGTTACTCAAAGTTACTTAATGAAAATTACTAAAAAATTTTACTAATTTACTTCGATTTTAAAAAAGTTTGTCGGCGAATTCAACGTACATGCATAATTGGTTAGGTATGTATGTATGCAGATATTTAAATGGCCTATTTGTACATGTTAAATAAAAGCTTGTTTTTAAAAAATATTTTTTTAATTTATTTTATTATATATATAGATATATATTTTAGGTTCAGGATAAAAGATCTGCACGGTTCGTTTGATTTTCAAATTCAAATTTTTTAATAATCAATCCATCAGATCCGTACCGTTCGTTCGATTTTTAAAAGTTAGGTGTAAATTAAAGGCTGTAGATGTGCAATAAGGTTAAACTTGTTCGAAAAGAGTTGCCACCTTTTAAAAAATAAAGTTTATATTATTTAAAAAGCTAAACCAATTATTACGAAATGGGTTTAAATGGAAATGGTTCTGAAACTCTTTGTTTCTTAGCGGAACTACAGGGGGGTTGCTACCTGCTTAAAAAATCATATTAGGCAAGAGAAATATGTAACACTATATTTGTGCCAAACGAAAGGGGGTTGAGAAAGTAGTAGTTTGAAAATATTTTGAGGAGGGTTGCCACCTGGTTTAAATGTCGAATTTAGTTTACTTATACACAAGTTATATGAAATATATATGCCAAACGAAGGAGTGTTAAGAAACCTTTATTTTGAACGCTAAGAATATTTTTGAGGTGTTGTTTAAAAAGTTAAAATAAAATTATTTAATAAGTTAAATGAATTATTAAAATATGGGTGTCAATCGCAGGGGGTTTGAAAAGTTTTTATTTCCGAACTGTATTTAACGGGGTTGCCAAATGTTTGAAAAATCAAATTACACTTAATTCATTAGTTCATTCAAATATATATCGCAATGTCGGCGGAGGAGAGTTTACAAGGATTAAGCTTGAAAATACTTTTGGAGAGGGCTGCCACCTTTTTTTAAAAGTCTAACTCAACTAATACAACAAGTATATGAAATATAAAAATATAATAGTCAAACGAAAGAATGTTAAGAAATCTTTAGTTTGCACATTTGGAATGATTGAAAAGGGTTGCCTGGCGTTTAAAAAGTTACATTCAAATTATTCAGTGAGTTGAATGAATTATTAAAATGTGGGTATCAATCGAAATGGGTTTGAAAAGGCTTTATTCCTGATCTTTATTTAGAAGGGTTGCCAATTGTTCTAACCATCCAACTCTTTTTCGCTTAAAAAGGAGTATTTCGGAAATTGTAAATTCGTCCTCTATTATGTTATATAAAAAAGGGGTTATGAAGTATGCAAACCTCCATTTAAGTAATTTCAAATCGGCAAATCTTTTTTCAAAATATGCTTTTCAATCATGTGCAATATTTATTTCTAGCCTTGGAAAATGATGAAATAATCTTTTTTTGAGATCATGAATAAAAAGACTTAGTTTAGATTCAAAACTTAAAATAATTTGTAGTTTACAAAGTAAAAAGAGCCAACATGTTCTAAGCAAAGAAAAAGTAAAAAAAAAGAGCCGCACTTTGCTAAGCAAAGGGCCGCATTTCACTCAAAGAGCCGCGTTTGCCTACCGTTGGCATAAACAAAAACTTTTTCAGAACTGCGGTAGTTTATCCTAATTTTTTCCAAAGTTAATAAGTTAAGCTCAGGGCAATATTTTCTCACAACGCATGCTAGATTGCTATAACTTTAGCAACTTAACACCTCAAATCAGTGTTGCCAACTTTTGAGTTTCAAAAAGCACCAAACCTNTCAGGGCACCTCAAATCAGTGTTGCCAACTTTTGAGTTTCAAAAAGCACCAAACCTTGGAAAAAAGAGCGTTTTATCGCACTAAAAGCACAAAATTTTTTTTTATCAAAGGATACTCTTTTTCATAACAGTTTGTTGTAAACAAAAGTAAAAAAATAAACAATATTTACATGTATAAATAAATACACATTCATGCTTGCGAAACTGGTACATCTGGAGAAGCAACAATCGAATCGCAACAAACGAAATTGAATTTTAAAGGGGAAGAGTAATACTTAATGATACCCTAAGTAGAAATGAGCGAAAAAATTTGTTGTTTTATAATATAACCTCAAATATTTCGAAAAACCGTGTTTTTACACTTAGAGGCTAGGATATCTCAAAATTGACGTGGTAGAGAAATTCTGCAGCTAGATTTGGATTCAGCACCGAAAAATCTACACAAACGGTTCCACTCAGGTGGCAAAAAAAGTTAAAATTTTTCGAACTGTGTAATCAATCAATAATCAAGAAAATAAAAAAATAAATACTTAACTTATCTGCGTGCTAGCATTTTCAACGCGAATACAATTTAACAAAAACGCAAGAACGTGGGTTTGCAACTTCATCTTTTTATCAATCATGGTTTGCATTTTAGTGCATTTAAATTTGTAGATTCTTGTAAATTCAGAAATTTTAGTTCAGAAAAAAGCACTAAAAAGGGCACTAGGCACTAAACCATTATTTTTGGCGTTTTAATTTTCAAAAAGCACTAAATCTAGTGCTTAAAGCACTAAGTTGGCAACTATGCCTCAAATGCTACAAATCGTGAACTCTCCTTTTATTTCGCTCGTGCATTTACGCATATTGTTTAAAATAAAAATTCGTCCACCTGAAAGTGTTAACCGTACACTACTAAGCTAACGAAGGCCAAACGAAAATGCAATGAAAAAATTATTGAGGTCGAGTTGTGAAGACAACAGTGAGACGAGTTCATTTAAAAAGCCGTACGGTGCGTATTATCAACACTTATGGTCTGATTATGCATACTTCGCATAACTTCGCACAATTTCGCATAAACTTCAAACTGTAATTTCGTATGTACTTTGTATGTATTCCATTACCCAGAAATTAGCAGAACTTTTAAAAACTTAGCGATCTGTTGAGTTTAGATTTTACTTCACATTCTCTTAAGTTACATTTTTATTGCACTGGTACAAATGGTTGTGCGGAGTTATGCGAGGTATGCATAATCAGACCCTTAATGTGGTTCACCACCAAACAACAGCCCCAACAGCATAAACACATACATACACACGCAAATGTGAACACAAAAAGCAACAGTGGCAATGGCAGCGAGGTGAAAAATTAAATAGTAACTGAGTGAATAAAGGGAAAATGAAAACACGGCGGTAAAGCACAAAGCAACAATAACAACAAGGTAATGCTGTTTTGGTAAGTGAGAAGCGTGCACAAAGCGGCTATTTTTCTTCCGCCTACCCCGCCACGGATCTTTTAACTGTTAACGGTTAGGACTATGTAAATATGTCACACTGATTTGATGGCGCGAAAACTGAGTAGAGATGGGTAATGGAGTGGGTTGGGTATAGTCGCACCAGTAACTCTATTGCGCAGGTTCCCTACTCCCACCGTTATTCATTACCACCGTTTACATTAATCAGCACATCAGTAAAGAGCGTCAATGCCACAAACTCGCTGAGCACGTGAAATACCAGAGATGTCTTAAGTGGAAGGAGCGCGGGGACAAAACTTTAAAACTCACCACAGTTCAACAGCTTTCGGTCATGGCGACGGCTACTCACCAACACACTTCGGGCCCCAGCTCCTGGTTCCGGAATAGACAACTCTGCGAAAGCTGAAATCTGACAGCTTAAACAGGCAGGCACTGACGACTCGTCACGCAGTAGTCTTTGTCGTGTAGTGGTGTCGTCGTCGTCGTTGTGCGCTCGTCCAGCGTTCAAGGAACCAATTACCAAGGAACACACAGGAGAAACTGCTCACATTACATACATATAGACACACACGTACACACAAACAGCATAGTGAAGGCAACATACAAGCACACGCTCCATGGTATTGTATATGTAAAATGAGAGACACACACGCAAACACTTGATATACTGATGGACATTGTGAAAAAAGTTCAGAAAATGCTGAAAAAGTGTATAATATTGATGGAAAAATAATAAAAATATGTGGAAAAGTAAAATAAGTAATAAAATAATGAAAATATATTGGTTTTTAAGTAAAATATTTCAAAAAATTCCTAACTAGGGATGGAATTCTTAGCGAAAACTGTGACGTAGTGCTACCCCTGCCCCTATAAAACAGAAGAAAGTTTCTAGAAAACGACCTAGCCAAGTAGATATGGGAGAAAAAAATAATTTTGCTAAAATAAAAGCAGGGCATTTACATATACATATATTTTCTATACACAATGTGAAAACGCTCCGCACACCTGAAGGAAATATTTGCCCTTAGGTTTGTTAGCGGGCTCTAGGGAAAGATGACGATCGCCTCTAACGAATATATGTACGTGTCCGTGAAATTTTTTTCTCGCGTTTTTGGAACAATGGGGCATATGGGTGCAGTAGTTAGGAAATATCCAAAGGCGAAGAAGTGCGATAGAAAAATATGTGTTTAAAATATAAAATTTGAGGTCGTTGCGGTGTTGATTTCATTCCTTCGCAAAATCCATAGAATGCAAGAAACCAAGATGGCAATACGCCATGCGATTTGAATAAAAAAAGACTAATGGAATATTCAGATGTCGATGGTTCTCTGTAATAACCACACAACTCATAACTGAAAACCCCCCTACTATTGAACAATGGCACATGTCCCAAAACGAGTGCGATAAGACCACAAATTGCCCATGAGAAAATGGATGTGTTGATGGGTTGGTGTGTCTGACGAAAATAGATTAAGGTAATTAATCAAAAGGACACCAGTAAAAGAGAGTGGTCGGGAGCAGAAAGTGAGCAAGAAAAATAAGGTAAACCAGCACGAAGTATTCGATAAACATTGTATGTAAAGAGGAAGTAATAAAGAAGATAGTAAAGAAGACGCTGGCAGGACATGTGAATAGAGAACTATAAGAAAAATATTAAAATTACATACGTATGTATGTATAATAGCTTGTACAGGAACAAAAGACAAAATAGTTGGAATCTAAAGAACACAAGAGAAACGAACAAAGGGCATAGCAAAAATGAAAAATTCGCTAGCGAAAGCAGCGGCAAAGCAACGAAATTTAATGATTCCATAAAGCGGAGGAGCGCCTGATTTGCTTCAATCGTCGTCATCATTGTCGTTTCTTAGTTAAAAGCTGCGACTTCACGCTGATACTGCTGTCACCCGAACAACGAAAAATTCCCAGTAAAAAACCTAATTCACCACAGCTGGTAGCTGGTCTCTAAAACGTGCCAATACCATTAACTATCATCGACAAGCGCAACGTATACTGGTAATAAGCCATCGCTCCCAACCGCCTCCATCTCTCTTTCTATGCCTTATCTTCGTCCACCCTCCACATGTCTCGTAACTTCAAACCAAGCGGTAGAGTCGCAACTCAATTGGAAGTAACTTCAACGCTGCAGTATAAAACGCACTTAGTAGCGAGCTGCAGCTTCAATCACAACGCACCCATTTGCATTAACGCAGCGCGAAATCTCTTGGCCCCAACAAACTTGCGTTCGGCTAATCATTAGAAGTACAGTACGTTTCGCTTGATTGCGTCCGATGCACACCATTCAGTGCACTCAAGAAGAAAATGCAGCTGAGCGAAATGTCATGAAATTAGGAAACATTTATTGAAACAAAAGTCTATTAAACAGAAAATTGCAGTTTAAAGCAGATACAGTTATTTATGAAATCAATGTTTGAAAAAAGCCTATGAAGCAAATATCAAATAACTACAGCTTATATTAACATTGCGCAAGTGGCCATATGGAGCGAATTGTGTGAAAAACTCAAGCCCACCGTCTACAGCCTGAGAGTGTTTGTTTGATCCGGTAACTGCATCATAGGCCAGATATTCAACATACGCCAAATCTTGATCGATTTTAAGGCCGCCTTCTGTAGCACGAAAGGGAACTGCCTATACGTCGCGATGACAGAAATTGGAATCTCGATGAAACTAACACGGCTGTGCAAAATTACGATATTTCAGACAGCGCTCCTACCTTCTGTTGGTGAAGTTAATTAAAGCTGCTGAACTGAACCGCTGTGGAACAATTTATTATAAGAGCGTAAATATAATTACTGGCGTAAGTCTATGATAAAACTAATTATCTCCTGTCATCAGGCAAATTGTCAGCGGTTTAGCTCCTCGACCCGCATGCTACCTTAAACTATTATAATTTTGGAAAAAGACTTCGTTTATTTGGGAATTATAATTAACATTAATCAAAAATGCCAGCCTTGTAATTAAGACATGGACAATGACAACACCCATTGAGGCAGAACTTGGAGTGTTCGAGACAAAGATTCTGCGGAATTTCCGCGTGGCGGTAAAGAAAGAAGAAGACGTCCCATTATATGGAAAGACCAAGTGGAGAAGGCCTTGGCTTCACTTGAGGTTTTTAATTGGTTTCAGTGGGTACAGAAGAGGAGCGATTTATTGGATTAGGTCAAAATCGCTTCAAAAAAAGGAGGTTATCAATTCGTCGGAATATATTTTTTTTGATACGTTATCAAATAAATCAGACCCACGGGAACCAATTTCGATTCTTCTTTTATCGAAAAGGTGTTACCTCAGGGATGGTCCCAGACTAATTTGGTTTAGTTCCGATCAATGTATTATGAAGAAGCTAACGATACTCCTAATTTTTTTTTATATGTGTATTGAAGTGGGTTTTTTGTTTAAAAATTACTTGTTTTACGAAGAAATAATTTTGCCGATAAACTTATGAGCTGTAATTTTTATGAAAAACTAAAATATTACAATTATATTTGATTATTTTATTGTTATTACTGTAACAGTTGTCAAGGACTTTTATTTTAAAAGTCATTTACGAATGTCGTTCCGGGATTAAAAATATCCAATCAAAAGTTGAAAAGCTAGTTCCACCAGTTGAAGTCCAGAAGTAGTTTGAGATCCAAATATATGTATAAAAAGCCACTTTTGAATAAAAAAGCTGTGGTAACCGTTACAATTAATTTTTATGACAACAAATGGAGCCTTCGCGATTCCCACCTAAATGTAAACTTTTAATGTCACACATCATTTCAGATTTTGATGTGAACAAGTAAACCAAAATGTTCTTCGATTGCTTTACCCAATGGATCCCATCTTCTGATGGCAACATTTGCTATTTCTATGAGGTTGCTCACACATACCTGGTTATCAGGTTATCTGGTTAAAAATTATTCTTGTGCAGTATATTTATACGTTGTAAACCGAATAAAAATATAACCACATAACCTGATAACTAGAAAAGTGTGAACAACCCCTTTATTTAATCCAGGTTATAATTTATTAAAATCAACAATATCGTTAAAGCTACAAAATACTTCATATATACATGTACATATATGCATGTGAAATTTCTTTTGTTAAATACTAAAACAAATGCAACTTATTTACTATTTGAAATGAAAAAGTGTTCCGATTTTAAAAATGAGGCTGCCACTCGTTCGACGAACAAAAAAATAAATCGCAAGATGCAAAAGATAAGCAAATAAAGAGAAGTGAACATAGTGTTTGTGATGAGTGAAATAAAGGATCCTTATATACTCGTACACGTATACAATATTTAATAAACAAACTATTTAACACGATAATCCAGAATAAATAAATATGTGTGTGTTAGTGTAAGATCATGTTCTCAAGAATAGCTACCAGTTTTATAAAATTCCTACTCTAAATCTCTCTCAAAGAGAGGAAAACTCGGAAAAAAAATACTGTGCGCGCCTAAAAACTGATGCGGCAAAAGGATTTGAAAAATATCAACAAAAGCGTGCTTGCGAAAATAAGTTTACTTGTAAATATGTATGTAATACTAATACATTTTGTGAATGCATTGTGAAAAATATGCATAGATCTGTTAACAAAAATAGAAAATGGATAACAATACATTCACCTAAGCATACACAGCATTCGAGTATTTTGTAAATAATTGCATTAAATAAACAAAAATATTAATAAAAATATTTACTAATCAAAAAATACTGTTACTATTAATTATATACCATACATATGTTAGTGTACATGTATGGAACGACTAGGTTTATGCTATAAAGTCTCAACTAACAACGAATGTTTAAACAACGCCGTCTTTATGGATATATGCAATACATGTAAGTGATTTTAAATATGCGTACCCATATGTACATAGATACATACATATATATAATACATATTTACAAACACATACATATATATATATACTGACATAAGTCAAACGGATCAAAGCTCTAACTAAAATTCTAAATGTATGTACATACATACATTTTCAAATAGGGTATTCTTTCCGAATGTTACCCCCACCCAGCCCATTTTTCTTTTAACTTAAATTTTTTTTAATATGAAAAAACACAATATTTCGAATGCCGAGTGGCAAAATAACGTGAGGGTCAACTTCAAGGTCATCTCAAGATCAACACGTTTTTTGTTTTAACTAGTCGCCTCCATTTTTTATCTCGTATTCAGAAAGAACGGGAAACTCTACGTACAGATAACATATCATATGTAGGGTTAAGGGTATGAAGTGTTAATCGTCATACCAAATATGTATGTTTTTTCAACAAATTTACCCAACTATGATTAATAAAAATTAAAAAGACCATGAGGACCTCCAGATGACGTTGAAATTGACCGTCATATCGTCCTTTTGCAAAACCGCGTAACTGAATTTTTTTGCCAAAAATTGGATTTGCTCAATCAATTCGTCCAGAAATATACTAGCTTAAAGTGCAATTGCTTTACACAAAAGAAAACCATTTTGAAATATGAGAGTTTTTACTCCCTAGAAAATAATTTATGCAACCTCACATACGCGGTTTTGATACGCGGGTTTGTACTTTAAACGACGATAGGTGGGTATAAAATATGCTGCGAACAGCTTATATATATTTCCCCTTACCTGTGCAATCTGGTTTTGGCCTCCTTTTGTAACTACCGGCAACCTAACTGTTCTTACGCGTGTATGTGTTTGCAGAATGATGACGAAGTGATTTTGTATGAAAACTCATTTATGCCCATATATTGTGTTCAAAAAAAAAATACACAGATCATATCAACCACTTCCTTCCCTTATACCAGACGAAACGAAAAAACTTGAATTTGAATTTAAAAAAAAAATTGCTTTATAATGCTCAATTTTTGGTAAGTTTGTATGAAATTTGTTCACAGTAATATTTCTAGTGCTCTAAAGAATTTATATTCCGTAATGTAAAGTTATATCTGCAAAACCTTAGTTGGTAGAGCACTTTAAAGGCTGAGAATTTACCCCAAAGTAAGCCAATGTTTACCGTTGTTTAAACGGCAGAAAACAAAGTGATCATGTATTTTTCTTTGAAATTGGGCAATAAGCGTTTTTGTGAAGCTCTAAAAATTACTACAATTTTTGAGCATGGCATCCATACCGAAACGTAAATTAAAATGGGATGGCTTACAAATACACGATTAAGGGTTCTCAAACTCGCTGATTATGAATCTGAAATCAAATTTAAAACATTCAAAATGGAGGATCCATATTCGATCCATCATTTATCACCGTAAAGCTAAAATCGAACGTACATACGTACATGGCGTATGAGTAACATTCTCAACTCTTCTTGCTAACTCATACGCCATGTACGTACGTTCGATTTTAACTTTTCCGTGAATTGTGAATGACAAATCTATTTAAGCATTTACTGCAGCAGTTACGTAATACGGAATTTTCAATACTGCCACGTTCTATTTCATGAACTATAAATTTACGAGTCTTCTAACATGCCTTACTTTAATTTTTATTGCATAGAATTTTGGGCAGAGATTTAGTCCGTTTCACGTGGAACATGCCATATACATGTATTTACATTTATATATACATAAATTATTTATCTCTTATATTCATTTGATTAAAATTTATTAATCAAATATAGTCTATATGGATGGTCCTCTGCAATAACGGCACAACTCAAAATTTCATGTTTTTGAGTTATATATCGGACTAGGCTTATTACTGAACAGTTGCACATATCTCACATTTATCGTAAATATTGGCATAAGTCAAAAATTGTCGATAGGTTAGTGATGATTTTATGTCAAATAACGACATTTTTCGTATTGTACCGTTATTCAGTAATACTAATGGAGTTATTTTCGTTTAACGACTCAGGAGATGTTACTTATTTCGTATCTTTTCAGTCCAACCCTTGCTAGATCTTTATAATTTGAAAGCTTGTAAATTTTTTATTTACAGAACGACAGTAAATAATCTGGAATAATTACGTTCCAAGACATATTATTGTTAAATTATTAAACGCAAAAACTTTTATTGGCTCTACTAAAAAATATGCAATTATGAGTTGTGTCGTTATTGCAGGGGACCATCGATATGTACATAGGTGTGTATACACATATATAAACAAATGTCTGCTTGCATCTTGACCGCTATGGATTCCTAAACTATTCATCCCATTGCTATTTCTCTAATTTTGGTGGGGTGTTTGTGTATATTCATAAAGGTTCTTGTGTTCATTTGGAAGCGCTAGGAGGAGCTGGAGTTGGGATGTTCAGCAAATTTGTTTAAGACCAAATGTTACTCTACGACTGCTACATATTTAACGCCGACTTTAACGCGACGTGAGATTCCCCTCATAATTGTGGCCAAGTGATCTTCGATAATAGTACATATTTGGTAGATACATAAATACAAAAAGTAAAAAAATAAAAATACAAAAGTGTTCCCTGCATACCTTAAGTGCACCGAGGTATGACGAAATTGACAGATAGATTCCCACTGTTCATTTACATCCGGTCGATGAGAAGTGTCTCGCTTGAGCAGGTTTGAGAGTCTATTGGAAAATTTCTCAGCTGTTGTTTTTGACTGCAGCTTTTCGATATCGAAATTTCGTTGCGCCTATCACAACACTATCAATTTGTTGTTTCGCTCTTCATTCGGGGAACCTCCAAGGGTTTTATGGATGTTTCGATGTTTGTGTCTGGTACTTCTAACTACCGTGTTCTAACTACCAACGGCGAAGTCGTTGAGCCTCTCTCCGTTGTCGGACGTGTTGTCATGAAGGCTGAAATTTCCGACTGTTGGACCACAAATATTTCGCATAAATGTAGATTGTGGCAATTCGCTCACTGGTGGGGGGTGAAAGTGGGGACAAAGAGTCGACGCTTCCGCCCAACTACAAATTCCACACTAAATTTGTGAGTGTTCTCATGGCAGCTGTAATAAATGTAGCATGTTGCAAATTTTTGCAATTATTCCCGTGGTGATGTCAGACTTGTATTCCTTTTAGCAAACAAGAATTTGGATAGTCAGCGGGTACGGGCCGGAATATGTGCTGTCAGCACGAACTCGCGCGTGCATGGGCGTTCAGTAAAATTTCATAAAAGCACGAATAAGCACGAAAAAGCCCGTTGCCAATACTACAAATTTAGATAAGCCTTTTATAAAAAAAATAGTACATATTAAAACTCTTCATATAAGAGAAAAGCAAAATAAGAAATATTTGGAGACCGATAGAAAAAATAAGATAATCAGTAGTTTTGTTTACATATCAGAAAAAATAAATATTTATATGCACATAAACACAAATTTAAAAGTATGTACATACAGTGCCGAACAGAAGTATTGGCACAGTGATTTTTTCGTAATATATGCAAAGTTATTTATTCTAATTTATCTTCTATAATTTTTTATAAAAACATTGTTCATTCTACACCAGAAAACATAATAATAAAATCTCTAAACTTTGTGCAAAACTCAGGAAAATTCATTAAATTTGCACACTAATTTGCAACTTTTTATTCAGATTTTTTAGAAAAATTCTAAGTATGCAGTTTTATAGCCCATTCAAATTTAGTATAACAAAGTGCAAGTTTGAAGTCGCTAGAAAATTGCCTTGATTTTTGGTAATTTTTTTTCACGCAAGTTCTTCCATACAAAGTAATTCGACAATTATTTTTTGTATGGAGAAAATGAGCAACACCTTCCACTAAAAATAATAAAAAATTATCGAAAATAAATTAGAATAAAAACCTTTGCATATATGGCGAAAAATTCACAGTGCCAATACTTTTGTTCGTCACTGTATGTATACATACAATAAAAGTTGGCTCTTTATTTCCGGGCTGGGACGTGTCTCGTCGTACCAGGCCGGGCCGGGCCGGGCCCCACTAAAATTCTTAACGTGCGGGCACGTGCGTGTTTTTGAAAGTTGATTTTGCACTCGAGCCGGGCCGGGCCTGAAAATTTAGGCCCGTGCCCATCTATAGTATCGACACATTCGGATTATTCGTATAAGTAGTATCGAAATAATGATTTAAGTAAACTCATTTAAGTAGGTATCGACACTTTCATGTTATCCGAAGGTCCCTACAAATATACATATATCTACACTGAAAATAAAATTTCGTAAAAGTGCTACGAAAATCTTTCGTAGTGTTGGTTTTTGTACAATGTGCGAAACTTTCGTTCATAATACGGAAACATTTTTCACAACGAAATAAAATTTTACGAACTATACGTAAATATAACGAAAGGACTTTCGTAAGGTATTTTTTCGGTACAATTTACGAACTCTTACGTTTATTTTACGAAACACATTCGTAAAGCACTGAACCAATCTCTGTACGAATAATTTTGTTTATTGTAGGAAGGCATTCGTAATATTTACGTATGGTTTTAAAATTAACAAAAGTAAATATTAAAGTTGTGGATATACTATGCTTTTAAGCACACAGTGTACTAAATTCTTTAGTAAATAGTACGAATACATTCGTAAAATGTACTAAAAATCTGATGCCTCATATTTTCGAAGTATGTACGAAAACGGTTTTGTACAATCAACGTTCGTTTCGCTTGCACATCATCAACAGTTTTCTGCATTTGGGATTTTTTTAAGTTGTGACTGTTTTTCATTTCAGGTGCGATATTTACTTATCAAAAAGACGATAACATCTCGATTTTATCTGATAGTGATGAAATAAATCGCAAGTCATTGAATGTATGATTAAAAATATACAGATATAGTATAGCTTCCCATTTGTCATTTTTTCCATTTTTCCAAAAGTGGACCTATACCTGATGTGACCAACTATTTCATAGCTCAAAGAAGTACAGGTTAGGTTAGGTTAAGTTAACGATGCGAGCTGATTACGTAATTTCGAACGCAGATAATTTCGGTCCCTGAGAGCTCAGTGTTTGTTCAGAAGTGCGAGCCAAATCTTAGCCTCGCGAGCTAAAAGGATAAAAAAGGAAAAAGAAATTCCTAGTCTCACCGCATGAATACCAATCGCACAATGGCCTGTCAGAACCCACATGACTAGCCCTTGAGAGGGCATGTGTTTTAAAGTGCCCTATAAAAATAGCTGCTGCAGCAGATAAACGTCTTCTTTTTCTTATTTATGTCACAAAAGGACTCGGTTTCCTTTATCCTAATAGCCGGCGCCGTGTGCAGTATATGTATGGTAAGCGCCAGTGTAGGTGTGGCTCCTAATGCTCAGTTACAGCCGCCGTTGATCGCTCCNAGCAACATTCTAAAAATAGAATTATTAGCAAAAACCAACAGTACCAACAACCACATGATCAAGTGAATTGCAGCGGAATAGCTGCGCTNAGCGAGAGACCTCACATTTTACCGATAGCCCCCCTACAGCAGTATAAGGCAACCGAAAACTTTCTTACCATTTTCACAATATTAGGCTTCCACGACAGCCGCCGTTGATCGCTCCTAGTTACCTGGTTCAGGTA